AGAGAGAGAGAGAGAGAAGAGAGAGAGAGGGAAAAAAAGAAAAAAGAATGAAAGGGGAAAAAAAATTAAGAATATGTAAACGTAGTATTGATAGAGTTTGTTTTACGTGTGACGTGTATAGGACAAAATATAATAATTCGATATTATAGTATATATTCTTTTTTTTACTGACCAAAATTTATACGCTTAGAAATACGTTTATACTATTCTATGCGAGAGGTGATTCGTACAGTAATGGAATAATTACGAAAAGAGAGAGAAAAAAAAAAAAAACAAGAAAAAATCGAGAGAAAAATTTGACAAAAAAAAGAAAAAAGAGAATCGTACTACGAGAGGATGTAGAAAAGACGATGTAAGAAAAAAAAAAAAAAAAAAATCATCAAGCGATATCGCGTAACGTGATTTTTTTTTCTTTTACGTTTGCTTCTTTCTTCGCTTCTTTCGATTTACAGTCTTTTCTCTTTTCTTCTTTCGTTTTCTTTTCTTATTATTATTATTATTATTATTATTATTATTATTATTATTATTATTATTATTATTTCTCATCATTAGCTCAAAGAAGTAGAAAGTAGTAAAATTCGTTTCGCTCGATCACGATCGACAGATAGAGATTACACTTCGAGTTCGACGGTATTTTAGCACTTACTTTTCCAACGAGATTTAGCGATTCTCCCGGGAGGGGAGGGGAGGGGGGGGGATAAAGCACGCATTCAATTAGCGACCGATTATTGAACGACCGTTTAGCTCTGAGCTGTGTGGCATAATTCGCGCGAACAAGCGTCAAAAAAACGAGAATCGAGGGTCCGACCGCGAGCGTGAGTTTCGCGATCGATCGAACGATCCAACGAACGTTCTTTCTTTCTTAAGCGATCCCCCACGTAGTAGTACGCTTTTGCAATCGCGAAACGAGCGATTTCGTAGTGATTAAAAATCGCACTTCTTTTCCTCGAATAGGTAAACACGTGTGTACACGTATTCGTTATTAATTAATTGATCGAAGGAGAAGAAAAAGGAACGAACGAATGACCGAGAGGTATGCGAGAGGTAGACGCGAAAAGCGATGATCGATAAATCGTTGATCGTTCGGCGATGCACGCGAACCGGATTCGCACCGGATTCGATTTCGTTTCTCGTCTCCCTTGTGCTCGCCGCTTGGAGGAAAAACAAGAATAGGGGGTGGAAACGGATATTTGACGATCGACGAAGGATTGTGAAGGTTGGCGTGAGAGAGTGATTGTTCGAATGGAGTGAGGTGGGGAAGAAGTAAGGGGAAAGAAGAGAGAGCAAAAGAAAAGAAAGAAAAAGGAAAAAGGAAAAGAGAGAGAGAGAGAGAGAAAAGAAGAAACGAATATCGCGCATGTAATATCCGAGAAAGTGTAATGCAAAATAGGTATATGATTATATTATACATAATATACATACAATTGTGATCGTGAGAGTATCTGTTGCGAATAAAAAATAAATTACGAATAAATCGCTCGTGACTTTTTTCCAAGCTCAACTTCGACTCGAACTTGCTTTTCGAACGCCTTTCTCCCATCGCCGAATTTATCGAACAACAAGAAATTCCCTCCTGTTAACAAAAATTCCTTTATTTAATATCCTTTATCCTTTATCGTTTAAATAACAGAGATCTCTCTTTTCTTTTTTTTTTTTTCCTTCCTCTCTCATTGCTGAATCATTACAACATTTCCTGTCGAGCCTTCCTCACGTGTAAAGTCATCTGTTTCGACATCGACGGGACAGAGAGGAGAGGGGGGAGTGAAAAGAAGAAAAGTGCACACGACACTATCGCTATATTTATCATACAAACGAAAACGATCGATCGTTCTGACGATCTAATGATGATGGGGGACGTAGCTGTGCGCATTTTGGGGGCAACTAGGGGGTAGCAAGCTCGACGTGTCCTCCTCGGTGGAGCACAGCATCCCGACGAGGGTGTAGTCGACGAAAGGAGGAAGATCGAGATCGGCCACGTCCCCGTAACTGTTCATCCCGCTCGATGGCGCCACCGATGACGCGATGGCCATTTGGGGTAGCCGCGTGTCCACCACCTCGCAGGTGTAGTGGCAACGATCGTTGCTGGGATAGAAGAAGGGCTCGGGGCTATTTTGCGTGGGTATAGCGGCGTCCATCGTGTCCGGGAACAATCTCTCGCTCGAGTCGGGATTCGTCGACAACCTCTCGTCGAGCACCATTCGACTCGCGTTCTGATTATTCGGTATTCGATTGGCTAATTGATTCTTGGCCGCTGTCTCAGGCTGCTCGAACATCTGATGGCCGTAACCGTCGTACGAGTAATGCTTGTTCTCCATGGGGCTGCGAGCAGGGCGATCCACCGCGATCCCGTTCTCCTTCTTCGGATAGACGTTGTAACCCACTCTCTCCATCAATCCTTGCTGACAGTTTTCTTTGGGAAAACAGTTGACGTCCCCCCTTCTCGTCGAGGGGGGCAACAGCTCCTCCTCCTTGCGGGGATCGAAGTCGGGAAAGTTCAAACGATCCTGGTCCTGATGATGACTTTGCGCCCAATAGTTGCCCTCTTGCTCGCTCTTCCCCGCGAAATTCTTGTGATTCGTGGTTGGGTGTCGTTGATAATCTTGAAAGTTCAAAGGATCGGTCAAGTGATGATGGTGATTCCCTTCTTTTTCGGGGACGAACTGATTCACCGGCCTCTTCACGCAGAACCCGGTGCTCGGCGAGTCTTTCTCCGTTTCGAAGCCGGGGAATTGAAGCCTTTCGTCCTGAGGGATGCTCAAGTGACTGCTGCTCGAGTCCTCGCTGAGAAATTGGTTCCAGTATGGTGTCTGGTCCTGGTGCTGTTTCATCTCGTACTTTATGGTACCGCTTCCAAGATCGAGCAAGGTGGCGGCGATCTGGCCACTTCTTGAGAATTCATGGTGAATTCGGGTCTGAGGGGTTGATCCAGCTGGAAGATCTCCTCCGGTTGGAGCAATTCTCCGGTGAACGGGGGGAAATCGGGGTAGGAGGCCTCTTGAGACACTTGATTGGGGAGATTGTAGGCCAACGATGTTTCTTGGGTTGGAACCGTGTCTTGGAGCCAGTAGGGGGTGTCATTCGAGGCCGTTTGTTGGGGATACATGGTTGTTTGATGATGAGACGGTTGATAAGCCGAGACGTTGTTCTGCAGGCCGCACATGCATTCGAACGGTGGGCAGGAACACGAGTATCCTGCAACGTTATATGAAAATATTAACATTTTCCACGAATAAATTATAGACGAGGAAAGTATAAATATAATAATAATAATAATAATCTTATTCTTTCATTTATTTATATAAAAAAAAATGTAATTTATTAATGTTAAAAATTTTTTTGTACCGAATTGGAACAATTTTTTTAGATATTGGAATTATTATGTATTGATCACAAATACACAAAAATTTCGTCTTCGTTGGAAAATAGATTAAAAAGTAACGTTTTAAAAAATCGCGCCCGAATCTATGATCTGAACATTGCTGCGTATTGGCACAATCCGTAGCAGCTGGTGCCACCTGTCGGAGCAAATGGTAAACGCTAACACGAGAACGTTAACACGGTAAAAGTGGCGAGATTCGAATTTAAGAAGTAAATTTATCGAAACTCCATTTGTTAGGACAGTTACGAAAATTTATTGACAGTGTTCAACGCGAAACAAGCGTGTGTTTGGAAATAAAACGATTGGAATAAAACCTTTGTCCGGTATCAGTGGCGGTGGTTGCGTCGTTCTTGGCGGTTGCTCGATTGCTTCCGAATTCGATCTTTTCGTTCCACGTAGTGACATTAACTGAAAAAGTGCAACACAATTCAAGTTCATTAGTCTTGTAAAACTAACAAAAGAATCAAGAAGTTATTCTCAATAAACAAAGCGTTATTGGAATCCGTCATTCGTCCAAAATCTCGATAAGGTAAGCCTCTTATACGTATTAAGCGTGCAATAGTAATTAATTACGTATAAATTTCGAGCTTTCGAATACTTTTATCCGCGAGAAGAGGTTATGACGATGTCTGCGATGCGTGAAAGAATTTTTTTCTTTATTTACGCGAGGCAAATCGAACGGTGTACAGTGACGTGGAAACGTGGAAAATTATTGAAAAGAAATCGATAAAATAATTTTTCGATAAACGTACTTTGGAACCCAAAGCAGCTTCGTTTGCAAGAAGGACCGCCAATCCGCGTACCCTTCTGCCGGCACCCACGCTTCGCCTCGCCTCGGACGTGGATTTTGCTTCTGGTCGCGGATGATCGTGTTGTCCTTTGGCTTGAAAAAATATCGCGTGCTCGGTATGTCGCCAGAAATGCGTTACAGGGTAACCGCAATGGCCGCGACACGAAAGTATTTCCAACCGACCCGTGCATTGTCTATTGGGACATGGTTTCCCTTGTTGCTTTTTCCTCGCCTGAAAACCACATAAATCGCGTTATTTATAATCGTACCGTTGCCTCAGTAATAATCACAATATCGCAATATAAAAGCACATTTGACTTTTCATCTCTGAAATAACAATATTTCACGTGGTGGAACAGAGTTTTGAAGCAGGCGAAGGAAATTGATATATAAAAGAAAGTAGAATTCGCGTTAGGAATTACTCGGCGAGATTTCGATTCCCTTACCTTGTCACAAATTGCCGGTCGAAGGTGAACCCTTCCGCCGCCAGGTAGTATGCATTCTTGCGAACAGACCAGCACACCGAGGCAAGATTTTTTCAAGATGCTCACGTTGTGATTGTTCGTATTCCTCATCGCCCATCCCGATGCGTGTCTTCTCGCTTCCTCGCAATCTGGCCCGTACACTCGTCTCACATGGCCGTCCGCCCATTCGCACCAGGGATCGTACTCTACCACCTACGATTATTTTCAATTATCATTATTATCGGAAACTTGGATTCAAAATGTATATATATATATATATATATATATATATATATATATATATATATATATATA